CTACTCTGTAGAGTGGAGCACATATTGACTAAGTTCTGCCATCAGTTTATGGAAGACGCTTAGCGGATCGATCCGATTCAAAAATTGGGATAACGGTAGAAGGCTCCTCCGTGTAGGGGCAGTGGAGAGTCCAGTGGTGATTGCTGAAATCGGTGGGAGAGCGGCCTTAGCCCAACCACGCGTCGACCCGTGGCCATGCGCGAGAGAGAAATTGTATTCTCTGTTATTGGCTGAGCGATAGCGAAGCCTGTTACTCCATTGGGGTTGAAAAGTTTTTCCTGTCTGTCTGTCTGTGTGTGTGTGTGTGTGTCTGTCCGCACTACTCCTCCTGAACGGCTCGGCCGATCTCGGTGAGATTTTGCACACTTTTTGGGCGTGGCCTTGGCTCGGCACACGCGAAATTTCACTATCCTAGCTCAACTGGTTCAGTTTTTATAGCCGAAAAACACCTAATAAACGGCGAGAAATCGAGTTTTCTGCAGGCAGATCACTTCTGTCTTGAAGAAGGGGGGTCTGGGGGGCGGAGCCCCCCAGCCCCGCCAAGTTGAAAAGTTACAAGGGATCTAGAATGAAGGGGGGTCTGGGGGGCGGAGCCCCCCAGCATGCACCAAGTTAGAAGTAACCAACGATGGACAAGCCATTGCCTGCCGAAGGCAGGCTAGCGCCGCAGGCCAAGGTAGGTACGCCAGGCGCGGATTTGAGGAACAGGCAGCGAGACATCGCGAAGCCTGTTACGACAAGACGCGGTCTGGCGTAAACCTACCTTGTTTAGCTTATGTCGCACTCATTAACATCAATCTTGCTTTAGTACGTTCATACCCTTACAGTCAATCACTTGGAATAAGTTTGTAACAAAATATTCACCCACTTTCGCCTTCCAGTGGCAATTTAAGCTCCCAATGATCAACCGTGCGACACTAGCGCCCCCTAGCGGATAGAGCAATAAGTATGATTTCGGAGCTCTGAAACACTCGGTTTGCTCTTACGACACTATCGTAAATATTACTTAAAATACAACAGTAGTATTGATAAAATTTTTGAGAAAACCGAAAAATGTATGAAGTGGACGGCGTTTTTTCACCCATTTACCTACTTCACATGTAGGAATTTAGTTTTCGGACGACAATGTACACAAGGTAAGTTTACGCCAGACCGCGTCTTGTCGTAACAGGCTTCGCGATGTCTCGCTGCCTGTTCCTCCAATCCGCGCCTGGCGTACCTACCTTGGCCTGCGGCGCTGGCCTGCCCTCGGCAGGAAATGCTTGTCCACCGTCGGTTACTTCTAATTTCTTGCATGCTGGGGGGCTCCGCCCCCAGACCCCCCTTCATTCTAGATAGGGTTGCTTTATCTACAAATTATACGATCTTGACCCTTGTAACTTTTAAACTTGCCGAGGCTGCGGGGCTTCGCCCCTCAGTCGCCCCTTCCATCAAGACAGGAGGGACCTGCCTGCAGAAAACTCGATTTTTCGCCGTTTTTTAGGTGTTTTTCGGGTATAAAAACTGAACCAGTTGAGCTATAATAGTGAAATTTCGCGTGTGCCGAGCCAAGAACATACCTACACTGAGAATCCAAACGCGATGAGTATAGCGTCAATTGGTGCGATGCAAAAGCATTGCACATGAAGTGCGATGCCTCCACATTCCCATGCATTAGCATAGGGCACTTTCGGGATGCATCGCACGTATGGTGCGATATCTCGGCCGCATCGCACCATACGTGCTATGCTCATAGCGTTTGGAATCTCAGTGTAATAAGCCTGCAAAATCTCAGCCAGATCAGCCGGGCCGTTCAGGAGTAGTGCACACACGCACACACACGCACGCACACACGCACGCAGACAGAAAATGTTTTTAAACCCATGGATAACGGGCTTCGCTATCGCTCAGCCAAAAACTTGATAGCCATCGCTCTAAATATTCAGACTTGCTAGTCTAATTTAAATTTCGGACAACAGGTCACACTTTTCAGACAGTTGGTCTTTATATTCGTACCATTTTATGAATTTACGATTCGACCACCAAGTAAAACGAAAACGGTCTGAAATTTTTTTTTTAACAGTGTTCGAGTGGGACAAAAATGTCACGCTCGTTTGAGCCTGTGTCACATTCGTTTTGATGTGAATCAGCCAAAAAAAGCTAAATCCCCTTTAAAATGAACGTGACACAATGCTTAGAAGAACGTGACATTTTTGTCACATTCGTTTCCCCTGATGTCACATTCCTGGAATGAGAGTTATCTTAGCAGCAAGTAAGTCGCCAAAAAAGCTTGTTGTTTTTTAAATTTTTTTGTTTTTCTTATGGGGGTTGCAGTGCCATTTTTGGCCCGTCCCCTTTATTTTTTGTAAAAAAATGACGGAGGGACGGGCATAAGTATGATGCATGCTGTGCGTCCGTTTGTTCGTCCGTTCGTTCGTCGAGGACTTCCCGTGGGCCGATCTTTACCAAAATTTTGGGATGGCCTCCTTGGGGGACCCTAAGAACCGCCGGTGGCAGCAAATCCGATCCGAGCCCCGGGGCGCTGCTGCAGGTGCATCATGGTCTACATGGGGTCCAGGAGGATCTCGGCAACGGATGCAGCTAGAGGGCATGTAGGGGGATTTTTGG